CTCTTTTTCCAAACAGCTTTACTGAGGCAGAATTCGCACATAATACACCTTGCTCATTCAGGTGGACACTCCATGGTGGTCAGCGCGTTCAGAGCTGGGCCACCGTCACCTTGGTCAGGTTTAGAATGCTTTCATCTCCTCAAACAGAAACCCTGGGCCCTTTAGCTCTGGCCCTCCACTCCCTTCTCCAGCCCAAGCAACGTTTAATCTTCTTTTTGTCTGTAGATTTTCTCCTCTGGGCATTCCCCAGGAATGGAACCATATAATATATGGTCTGGGGGACTGGCTTCTTTCACTGAGCATATTTTCAGGGTTCATCTAAGTAGCATGGGACAATCCTTTTTTTTTTTTTCCTTTTGGTGCAGGGATCAAACCCAGGGCTTTGCATGAGCTACATTCCCATCCCGCTCTGTTCCTTTTTAAGGCTGAATCATATTCCATCGTGTGGACCGACCACCTTCTGTTTATCCATTCATCCAAAGAGGAACACTTGGGTTGCTTCCACCTTTTGGCTCTTATAAGTAATGATGTTGTCAACATTTTATGTACCAGTCTCTGTGTGGACATATTTTCATTTGTCTTAGGTACATATCTAGGTGGGAATTGCTAGGTCACAAGGTACCTCTATGTTTAATTGAGGAACCACTAAATTTCCAAAGCTCTGCATAATTTCCCATTCCCATTAGCTGTGTGGACGGATTCTAATTTCTCTGCATCCTCACCTCAGCCTGTTCCAAGACCCGCTCCTACTCTCCTACTTCAGRTCTCAGCTTAAGCATCTTCCCCCTCCCCCAGAGGGTCCTTCTTGAGCCTTAAACCCCCTAYGGGGGTCTAGGTCCACCTTCTTTGCTTTATGCTCTCAGAGCCACCCTGGCAGGGCACTCCAGCATCCCTCAGCACAATTACTCTACCACGACTGGCTTTTCCTCACTCTTTGGCTCACCTTTGCAACCCTGACTCAAAGCCTGGCCTGCATCAGCAGCTCCCACAGATCTGTGGAATGGAGGCCCAGAAGGGCAGCGCATGACTCATGCAAAGTCACGGGGAGGAGCGCTCTTGTCCCATATCTGCCCTGCCCCTGCAGCAGCCACTGGCCATGTATGGCCACTGAACACTTGAAATGTGGCTAGTGTGACTGAAATAAAACTTTTCATCTCAGCATGTTTAAATGTAAGTAGTGCAGGTAGGAGCAGGGTAGCAACGGTGTYCCCAGCACAGGACTCAGTTCCGCTTCTCGAGCCTTGGAATCTTCTTTACCCCGCAGAGTTCCTCCCTAACCCTGGGAGGTGACCTTCACCCTGCAGTCCACCCAGTTTGGGGTGACCACTGGCTGAGTCTCAGGCATGGCTGGCCACAGATGCTCTTCTTGTCTAGACCTGGGGGAGACCAGAGGCTCTGACCATGGAGAGTCTGCAGAATCAGAATCACCTTTCCAAGGTGGCCACTGTATTGACCTGATCCTCTGCTTGCACTATCTGTGTGGGTATGTGAAAATGAACCACAACTTAAAACCCTGTTCCTCAGTTGCACTAGCCACCATCGCAAGCCCTGGGTGGCCACACATGGCTAGTGGCTACCATAGGAGCACGGCAGATACAGGTCATACAAAGTTCTGTTGACCCATCTGGCCCCAGGTCTCCTTCATAGAAGTTTCCTYCCATCTCTCCTCCAGGAGAACCTCCTTCCCCACCCCCAGCTCCCCAGGCTGCAGGACCAGGCACCAACCTCCACCAACCCTGAGCCCCACCCCCTGTGCAAATGGGGCCAGCCTGGGACTCCCCACAGCCTCTGGGGGACCATCTGCTCCCCAAAGCTCCCAAGTCCTAGCACTTCCCTTCCCTTCCTGGGCTCTCAGGGGTAAGAATATCCTCCGAGTGTTCTCTGGATGCAAAGCCTCAAAGAGGGGGAGAAAATCCAGGTCAGCCTGAATCTAAAAGCCAAGTATTGCTGTGTGGAGAGTGAATCCTGGGCCAACTCAGCTGGAGRGGAGGGCATGGGAGGTGGGCCAGGTGGCATGTGATGGGAGAAGTGAGCAGAGAGAGGTTCTAGATGTGGCACACAATGTTACATTGTCCAGTGCTCTTGGGGATTGCTTGGGCATCGTGACTAGGGCTTTAAAATTCGAGTCTAAGAAGCTCTCACTTGTAAGAAGTGCTTGTAAGATTTTCTTAGGAAATTTTTGTCCCAGGACGCACTCCCTAAGTTCAGAGATTTTGAGCCGTGCATGCTAGATATATTGGTACACCTTGCCCAGGTGTACCAATCTCACTTTGAACCCCTGAGCTAGGGGGACCCTACCCTGTAACACACGGTTTTCAGTTTTCTAGGCTGCAGAGTTCAGTCACTGTGATTCCCATTTTGGGGATGAACCACGCCCTCTAGTGGAAAGGGGTGGACTCTCAGAATTACACCCCAAGGTTGTAACAGGAGGGGCCGGGTGGTTGAGGTTCTGCCTATTCCGAATTCTAGGAGATGTGGTTGTTGGYTTCTTTCCTTCTTTTTCAACCATCCAGTGTGATGAAGTGGATCCACAGGTCTGTGTTGTGGTTTGGACTTTTTGGCACTGGGTAGGAAGATGGCTGGGTACAAAACCCCACCTTGGAGTTGATGCCTTCAGATTGGAGTCCTTCCTGTGATCCCCAGACCTCCTGCATTAGGATCCCCCAGAGCGTCTGTGAAGGTGCAGGTTCCTGGGCCTCTCAGAGGGTAGGATCAGTCTCCCGAGGCCTGGTCAGGCTCCGCACTTGCCTGGGCTCTCAGGTGGCTCTGACAGGTTCAGTCCAAGAGCCCTGGGGCTGGTGACAGCAGCTCTTGACTGTGTGAATACCACCTGTGTGTCCCTCCCCCATCCCTGTCTGGAAGGACACTGCCCACCATTCCAGGCCCATTTATGTGCCATTTCCATGGTGAGACCACACCCGTGGTCCATCCAGATCTGAGATCCCCACACACAGCATCTGCTCCTGGCCTGGGCAGGTGCTCAGAGCAGACAGCAGGTGTTCACTAGCACTTGCAGTACACTCCCAGAACTGCTTTACTTCTTCTCAGTGGACCACGCAGGGAATGGGAACAGATGGGCCTGTGGCCAGGCTACTGCCAGGTGCCTTGGACAGTGAATGCCCACCCCGCCCTGGGCTCAGCTTCCTTCTTTAGCAGCCCTGAAAACCGCACCTGCCTCCAGGGGAGGGAACTCGGGGAGATGGCAGGGTCACGTGCCTGACCAGAATGGCCACCCCAGCTGGCTGTCTTCAGTTTCCCCTCTGTACGATGAGGAGGCAGAATGATGTCAAGAAATGATGCCAAGAAATTATGCCAAGCGGGAGAAGGAGGCAGCCTGGTGCCTGGCAGTGATGGACTCCTGCACAGCCCTGATGGCTGGAGGGACGCAGGACAAGGGCTGGTGTCAGGACAGGAGCTGGACCCTTTGCTGGGCCCTGGAACTGTGGCAGGAGGCTGCTTGGGAAGAGCTGGGGTGGCCGCTGGAGGCACCAGAGCCAGCTGGAGCTGCAGAGGACACAGCCACTCCATGCAATCGCCACCACACAGGGCGACAGCTGCCCTGGCCTCCTGGCCTCCTGGCCTCTCCTCTCCCCTGGCCTCTCCTCTCCCCAGCTCCCACCACTACTTCCCACGGGTGAGGGAGGCTGAGAAGCAGGGTTTGCATAAGGGAGGGGACCTGCCAGCCGCTCCCAGCACCCAGTTCCTCAGCTCCCATTCTCCCGCCACCCTGCTTGGGTTCCTGCTGGGAAGAAGCCTCCTTCACTTGGGCCTGACTCTAAGTGATCTTTAGGTTGGTTTCAGCCACCTCACTCTCTGACAGCATTCTTAACTCGCCATCACTGTCCAGAGACAATAGGTGACACACTGGTGTGGACACCCCCTAAGGTGACCTTTGTAGAATCCTCTCTCCTTGGATGTGGTGGAACATGCAGCTTCATTCTAGCCCAGAGACCAGGACAAAGGCAGTGGGTGGGTGTTACACCCACAATTACAGTACATCGTGTAAGACTGTTCTAGAGGGCCAGAGCAAGAGGTTCTCCTGCTGGCCTTCAAGAAGCCAACAGGGTGCTTTGAAATCTCTGTAAATTCCCACCAGGACCTGGGCGACCTCTCCCAACAGCCAGTAACTACTGGGGCCGTGGTCCCACTCCTGCAAGAAGATGCATCTGCTGACAACCTGAATGAGCTTGGCACAGGTTTTGTCCTTGCTGGTCACCTTTTTGGATGAGAACACAGCCCGACTGCCACTAAACCATAGTCTTGTAGAGACCCTGAGCACAGGACCCAGGAAGCTCGTCTGGATTCCTCAGCTGTGAAGACCATGAAAGATGTGTGCTTTAGGTGGGGACACTTGGGGTGCTTGGTTACACTACCAAAGAAAACTCACTCACAGGGGGGAGAAAGCCTCTTACCCCACTGCCCCAAACCATGCAGTCCCATCTGAAAAGGTGGATGACAGTCACTCGGCTCCTTCCCTCTTTTCCTCTGTCTCAGGCTGAGCCACAGCGTCAGGGACAAGGGTCAGGTGTGTCCTTCCGGGTACAGGTGGAGCTGCAGCCAGCAGAAGGGAGATCCTGAGGCCTGTGGATGCAGGTGCTCCCACCACACCCCGGGGAAGCGGGATTTGGGGTGCTCTGGGGCCAAGGATGGCACGTGGCCTTGTGGCAGTTTCCATCCTCAAGTGAGGACCAAAGTTCTAAGGAAACACTGCTAACTAGGACGGTCAGCTGCACACTGGAGTCCCCTTTAATGTCATTTTATTTCCTTTTATGCAGACCCACGTGGGGGGAATCCCATAGAATCTTCTGGAAACTGTCAAGATAGTGGGAAGATGAATGCAAAACTTGCATAGATTGGGATGCCCACAGTTTGGATTTTCAGGGCCTAAAATATGAAACAGAACAAAGCAAATGGGAATTTTAGGATAAGAACACAACTCATATCCTCCAGGATGGGGACAGGGAGGCCTCTCCACCATAACAGTGGGCAGTTCCCAGCCCTGCTGCACCTTGTGATCACCTGGAGGGGGGGTGGTTTAAAGACTCTTAAAATTCTAGGCATACTTTAAATACAGCAAAGTCAACAGGTCTTGAGGGCACTTGGGAGTTTTCGCAAAGCCAGAATGTCTGTGCAGCTCCCGCCTCCCCAAGGTAGGGGATGTCTGCAGGGGCTGGAGACCTGGCTCACAGGTAGTGCCCTTGCCTGGCAGATGCAAGGCCCTGGGTTCCATCCCTAGTGTATATACACACACACACACACACACACACACACACACCTGCAGCCCTCAGAAGTCTCCTTCATGTTCTCACCCATTAATATCCCACTGCCCTACTTAGTCCACAAAGAAAGTTGCTATCCTCATTTCCAACAGCACAGGAAGTAACCTGGGAAGCATTTATAAAAACCCCAGGCCTCAGCTGGCCGTGGTGGTGCACACCTGTAAACCCAGTGGCTTGGGAGGCTGAGGCAGGAGGATCTCGAGTTCAAAGCCAGCCTCAGCAGCTTAGTGAGGCCCTGTCTCTAAATAAAATGCAAAAAAGGGCTGGGGATGTGGCTCAGTGGTTAAGTGCCCCTGGATTCACTCCCTAATTAAAAAAAAACAAAAACACCAGGCCTCATTCATGCAGCATGTGGGCTCCTGCTCTGGGGAGGCTTGAGGGTTTCTAGGCCTAGGTGATTCTGACGGGCTGTGGGACTGAGAAGTCTTCTCTGGCTTCTGCGTAGTCCCAGCTGCCCTCCTGTGGATGACTGGAAGCCAGGGGCCCCCAAAATGGGATGGGAGAGAGAAGGAGCAAAAGGAAATCCAAGAGAAATAAGACCTAAAGGAACGCTCACGTGGCTTTTGCAGCACGGCTGGACGAAGCCGAACTTCTGTGTGATCTGGTTAGTGCTGAACTCCTGCCACCTGCCTTCCACCAGGGTCTGGGCTCGGATCTCATACTTCACCAGACGCTCTGACTTCAGGCTGACGGCGCTGTGCTCGCAGATGGTAGAGGGGGAATCCAAGTCTGTGTGCCTTATTCTCTGCAAAGAGAGTGACCCATCCCAGGTGGACCTGTGACTGGGGTGACCAGGGTTGGTGGAAYCCCGTTCTGGGCACATAGACCCTTCCTGTGTGCAGACAGCAGGGGGCGCTTCCCAAATGGCATCAGCTTCTGAAGGCCACTACTGAGTCTGCCGGCATCTGAGCCCTCACCATACACTGACCACTGTCAGATGGACCGGGATTCGGCCAACCCAGAAAAACACCCAGTCAAGCTCTGTTGTTGCTTCTGCATGTTCCTGAGTGAGCAGAAACCCTGACCCAGGATTCCTACGGCTTTAGACTGGTGGTATTCCATGACCCATCTTTTCTATCCAATAAAACCCCCTGGGTAGGGAGATGCCTGAGTGACTGGAGACCAGAATGGGGGCCCAAGGAAGAGACTTGCCCTTCCAGAAGGTGAGAGCTCACTGGGAATAAAACTCAGAGCCATCATTTGTTCGTTTGTCTACCCATTCAGCCGGTCATTCAAAGCTCCCCCTTTTCCAGGTTCAGAGACTGGCAGTGGTCATGGGAAGATTAAGACAGGAAGCTTGCAAATGGTACAGAAGAGGGACTGCTACGTAGATCCTACGCGGACCACAGCAGCCCTTCATCACAGAGGTCAGTCCTAACCRTCGTCGGTGCTGACACTCACAGTGTGGGACAGGGGTCAGCTCAGAGGGAGAGCACAGGCTTAGCATACGGGAGGCCCTCAGCGCCAAACAAAACAAAAACACAGAGTGCCTTCCGCGACAGACCCCGTTCCAAGCCCTTCGCACAAATCAGTGCAGCAATGCCCATAGCCATCCTGGTGAGGCGGGTCTTGTGACCTTTCCCATCCTAAAGGTGGGAGGTTTAGGGAAATTTCCCAGCTCCTACAGCGCACCAGGCAGTCTGACTGCCTCTCRTCAGGGTCCAGCAGGAGCACCGAGTCCTCAGCATCCCCCCCACTGCCATGCTGTGRCTCTAAACGGCTGCCCCCTCCCACTGGTGGGCACTCTGCACTGCCTCCATGGAAGAAGGACACCACCCATTGAGTACAAATCAAAGATGAATTAAATCCTAAATGGAAAGGAGGAAGACGGAAATTCAACCCTGGCTTTTCCGCAGAGGCCGTGAAACATGGAGCCACCCAATCTTGAGATCCTCCTCGGCTCACAATACCTACCTCCCGAGGTGGTAGTAAAAATCAAATGATATCAGGTGTATGAGCACTTACGATACAGTCCATGTGAATCACCAATCAACCAACCATTACTGATCAATACAAATTGACAGACTGTAGACTCTTGTATCAGAGACGTGACTGTTCAGTGCTGTCCTTACCTGCATGTAAAAACTGTAAGAGGTAGTGTCATGTTTGATTCCCTTTATCTCAAAGAAGAATCCATATATAGAAATCATCTTTGAATGAGTGGTGTTCTCCTACAGAGGGAGAGAGAAGCAGCCAAGTAAAGGAGGCCCTCTTCAGTATTCCAAGGCAAGGGGACGGCAAACTCAGTGACACCAAAAGCGACTCATTGACAAGGGACCTGAAAGTGGAAATGCAGTAGCAATTCCAGCCCCGGAAGCAGGGGGAAGCCAAGTGATGACTTTGTTTTGATTKAGGGGTGAGGCGTCCTCCAAATGCTCACGTGTGAAACAACACAGGAAGATTCAAAGGTAAAACGATTCAGTTATTTTGTGAGAGCCTTAACCCCAACAGTGGATTAATCCACTTGAACGGATTAACTGGGTGGTAGCTCTAGGCAGGTAGGGTGTGTCTGGAGGACACGGGTCACTGGGGGTGTGCCTTTGGGGTTCATATTTTGCCCYGGGTAAGTGGAGTTCTCTCTGCTTCCTGGTGCCACGTCCCCAGCCGCTTTCTTCCACCACACTCTTCCACCATGATGTTCTGTCTCACCTTAGGCCCAGAGAAATGGAGTCAGCTATCTGTGGACTTAGGTCTTTGAACCCCAAGCCGCAAATAAACTTTTCGTTCTCTAAAATTTTTTTATCAGGTTCTTTGGTCACAGCGATGAAAAAGCTGACTTAGACTGACATCATCAAYTTTTTGGCAGGTTAATATTGATTACTATTACTACTAACAGTACAGTTAGTAGGAGTTAGTAGTTGATGCTGAGTAGGGACAAAATGTTTACTCTGCATGCTYCTTAATGAGGAAAGGCATGAGTTAGGTATGTCCCTAGGTGACCTGTGCTTTGCAGGCCTTTGAAACAAAGTGTTTTGTTCCAATTTGATGGACCTAAGAGGCACTCCCTGCTCAAGGTACTTGCTCCTGCAATCTACCGACCCACTTAGGTGGGTCTCTGCAACCAGAGGCCGATCCAGGGGATTCTCTCAGATGAAAGATTTGGGATCCCCCRTCCTTGAGACATTGAATTCTTTGGTGATCCCTCCTGGAATGCCTGTAGCCCATTTTGTGCCATCATCCCAGATGTGGAACACCTATAAAAACTTAAATATAGGATATAATATGTATAATAATTACCCAATATAATTATAAAAATAATATAATTATAGTATGATATAATAATTATAATACTAATTAATATAATGCTAGATATGACTCCAGATTATGGTTTCTAACCCATTTCCATGTTCCTGTATCAATTTTGTTGAAATATTTGCAGAACTGAAAACTTGGGCTTAATAGGTTAGGGAGGTGGAAGGAGACTGGTAGCCTGTGCCCATCACCGGAAGCACAGACAGCAGACACTGGCTGTAGATGCTCCCCATGCCTGATCGCCAGGACGCCTTCACCCCAGCTCCTTGGCCCCCAGTGGGGTTCGTCAAAGTAGCTGCTAGRAATAAGTACACCCTTGCAAGCTTCAACACAGACTTGGAGTGGAGGCTTGTCCAGCCTGTTGGGAGGCGTCCATGTTTGTGGGAAATTGGGAGAATCAACTCCTCATCCGTTTCCCAGGACTTTCCTGGTTTTAGAATGGAAAGACTTGGATCCCAGGAAGGCTCTTCTATCCTGGGGAAACCAGGACCGTCTATCCTGGGGAAATCTGGGGTTCACGGGTTGGAWTCCTGGATGTCCTGTCTCAGGCCCCTGTTCTGGGGGCCCCTGACTCTCCTATCAGAGGAGAAAAGATCMTGGCCCGCCCTAGAGAGGTCCTTGATCAAGCGCAGGGCACCGTTCTTCCCCTTGCTTGAGTCCAGTTCTCAGCACCTGGTCAAAAAGCAGCCCAAATCTCACAGCCTGGGTGGTCAGATCTTTCAGGTGGGCCATGTCACCTCCGCTCTCCAGCTGAAAGGGAAACGCACGCAGCTTACCAGCAGTGGAAAGGAGCCTCTGTCGCCTCCCCCATCTTCCTGGGTCTCCCCAGCCGCCACCACCACGGTACTGGGAGGAGYTCCATCTCCAGACCCTCTGTCCAGCCATGCATCTGGTCCACAAGAATTTATGGAAAACCTACTGTGTGCTGGGCCCTGTGCTCGATATATTCAGAGAATACAGAGAGGAGAGAAAGAAAAATCCCTGAGCAGTCTCACTGGGGAAATAAAATGTACACATCAGGATCTTGGTAATGAGGCCGAGAATGGCCATGGTCAGAAAGTCCAGAACAAGCAAGAGCCCCAAGACCAACTCCACCGACAGGGCAGTGGGGATGGGGTGGGGTGTCCCCTGGGGATGACACTGGCAGCTGCCGGCAAAGGGAAGGAGGTGGCAGGGTCAGAGGGGAGAAGAGAGAGTCGGTGGGGACTTCCTGGGGTGTCAGCCCCAGAGACTGTCCCTGGGGTGCTCTGTTACAGCCTCCTTCTGAGTTGTCCCGGAGAAGCACCATCCATGAAGTCATTTCTAATGTGCAAGGAGGGTGGAGCTGGGAGGCTGGTTTGCCATCACAAAAGGTATTTGTTGAGCTGGTTGCATTTTAACTAGTGACTCATGCATCTTCAGACCTTGAACAATGCCCAGCTTCATCTCTACAGATGCTTGATTGGAAACCCATGAGAAATATGGCAGTTTGCATAGATAATTCACAAAGAGGGACATGCTGGCCTGGAAAAATATTCATATTTACTAGTAATAAAGGAAAGGCATACACAAAACTGAGATGCCATTGTCCCCTTCACGGTCAACAAAAGTCATTTGAAATTAAAATGCTCTATATTGTTGAGGATGTACAAAGCCAGGCACATTCATTTATTTCTGAAGAAAGAGTGATTTTGTCCCAACATTTGTTAATATCTATCAAGAACAAATATGCACATTCCTTTCAGAGCCAGTATTTCTGCTATTGAAAATCTCCTCAATTCAAAGCACAGAAAAATAAATGGTGATGTAAAAATATGTTCCCCATACGATCATTTATAACATTAGACAATTAGAAACACTATACTTTTTCTATAATAAGGGAAAGTCCAATAACAGCAGCTCCGGCACATTCTGAGGGTGAAAGGGTTGGCAGCCATTAAGAAAGATGTTAGGAAGTACATATCCTTGAGTACATTATATATTTTAAAAAGACTTAAAGATAATAAATATCATAAGATGTCAACAGCGGTTGTCTTTGGGTGATGGGTCTAAGGGTATTTATTTTCTATTTCTCTGCATGTTGAAAAATTTCAATTATAAGCACACGTCACGTTCATGTCTAGTGGGGGCTCTGGAGGCTGGGGTGACTGGAGCCCCCATGCTGCAGACCATCAGTGCACAGGCCTTGAACACCAGGATTCCCAGGCTGGTCCTCCTCCCTCCTCTCCTTCCCAGGTCCAGCTCTCCCTGATTCCCCTGGAGAAGGGTCCAGGCCTCAAAGACCCAGAGGTGGCAAACATGAAACACAACTTCAGAAAAGGCAAAGTCAAAGAGGCAATCAATTTGGGTGATTTTTTTTCCCTTGATGAGCAGACTCACTGCGTGGTAATGGTTGGCTGTAACCCGGATCAGCCAGGACTCGGGAAAGAAGTTTATGTGCCTTAACTCCTCCAGATCCCTGCCTTGAGAGAAGCACAAAGAGAACATGTTTACGGTTTCATTCATAACAGAACCTCCAAAATCTCACAGAAAGAAAAAAGAAGATGCCAGGAGCCAAGGGAAGGAAGGGGCAGGTCTCCTTCAAATTTGGGTGATAAAATGGGAAGAAGACAACTCAGAGTCACTGTGSTGGTGTACAGAGTCTGGTTCTTTTATATTCCAAATGAATTTTCTTTTAAAAAATTTATAACAATAAGCAGGGCATAGTGGTGCACACCTGTAATCCCAGAGTCTTAGGAGGCTGAGGCAGGAGGATCACAAGCTCAAAGCTAGCCTCAGCAACTTAGAAAGGCCCTAAGCAACTTACTGAGATCCTGTCCTAAAATAAAAAAATAAAAAGGGCTAGGATGTGGCTCGGTGGTTAAAGTGCCCCTGGGTTCAATCCTGGTACCAAAAAGAAAAAATAAAATACCAATGARCTTTCAAAGGAATGAATGAATTCACTCCAAATCAGAGAGCAATTTCAACTTCAGCAGGAAATTCTAGTTGCTACATATTAATGCTTTAAAAAGCAACTTATGATCTTTTAATAGAAACATATTCCCAACAATCCTACAAAAAGATGTCAGTGCCCTGTGATCCTGGAGGGTGCTTGGGGAACTACGTGAAAGGAGYCATCAATGGTCCTCAAAGTGCAGCTTCACAAGCATGCTGCAAAGAGACTTCTATCCTCACAATGTTACCAAAATATTAAAAGAAGTGGTGAAGAAGATTTTAGGCTGAGTATTGCTGATTCAAATTTGCTTCTGTTTTTATTTTTCTTCCCATATTTTCCCTAGGTCTCCATGGGCATCCATGAGGTGTGCTTCAGTTACAGAATACCCCCCACCCACCCCAGCGTTCACAGTGCCCTGGCTGCAATCCTGCCTGGCAAGGGAGGCTTGGAATGAGATTCTCAGAGTTGTTGGAGCATCTAGAAGCAACCTGGACAAGACAACCTGACTCCCTCAGCCATCCCAGGGTTTCAGAGCTACTTAGTACATGTGGACAGATGAAAATGGATTTGAGGGCTGGGGGTGGCTCAGTGGTAGAGTGCTCCCCTAGCATGTGTGAGGCACTGGGTTCGATCCTCAGCACCACATTAAAAACAAAGATATTGTGTCCACCTACAACTAAAAACTAAATATTTTAAAAAATTTTTAAAAGAAAAAAAAAAAAGAAAATGGCTTTGAAAAGTTCTCAAATATCCTCTCATTGGGTGGCTTCCTGTCCTACCTAGAATATATTCCCCAACTTTCCAAGTCTCACTTGACTCTCCTGTACCCAGAGCATGAGGTCAAGGGAATATAATMTGGCTTTGGGACACAGACCTAGAGTTTTTAGATCAATTGAACAATTTTTTTTCTCTGGGTGTTCACTTTAAGAATTTATCCCTGAGGGCAGCAGTGGATCACATCTGTAATCCCAGCACCTGGGGAGGCTGAGGCAGGGAAATCGCAAGTTCAAGACCAGCCTGGCAAATGAGTGAGACCCTATCTCAAAATAATATATATTTTTTAAAGGGCTTGGGATGTAGTGTAGTGGTAGAGTACCACCATCAAAAAAATATAATAAAAATTTGTCCTTGATAGATGCAGTAAAGGGGAATTGAAACATTAGGTCCCAGTCTGCAATGCTGCCTAAATTCAGCCAAATATGAGCCCATATTTAGAGTGCTCCCCTCATGGTCTCTTGCTTTGCTGTATGTTTGTTCCAAGAGGACTTGATGTTTGGATATGCATGCCAAGGGGGGACAGGAAATGGAAGGTGCCATCACCATGCCTAGTTAGGATATTGGAAGCCAAGGCGGCCGTGACCATATGCAACCTGTGAGTCCTGTGAAAGGCAGAGCCAGGTGAGCTCCGCAGTACAGAGTGGGCAGCAGCACAGGGGCACAGCGGTCACCAACAGTTTCCAAAGACCCAGCACTTGACCACAAGTGTGGGATCCACAACACCAAGACCCACACTTCCTTCTCCAGAGGACTTGAACTGCTGGACAASTTGTTCAATTGATCCAATTTTTCTCTAGAAATGCCAAACAAGTGACCTAGAAGTCAATCCCCTGCTGAGGCATTTCCCACAGTCCTATGGCAAGGAAACGGCCCTGGCAGCTGTGCCCTGCTTCAGCATGGAGATCCACCTCTGTCCGTCAYCCCATGTCACAGAACCTCTGATTATCCCCATTTTACAGACAAGGAAACTAAGACCAGAGGTTACTTGATGCTCCCAAAGTCACACAGCTCGGAAGTGACAATGCTAGATTCCAGCTGGTTCCTTTGGAAACATCTGGTAGGGCTTCTTGGGAGTGGCTGAGGGGTGGGGCAGGTCCCCAGCTGCTTTCCTGGCACAGGGGTGGCACTTACCGCTAGTGATGCTGTGCAGACGCAAGCAAAGGAAGAGCGGCAGCCAGCTCTGTCCTATGTCTCGGTCCAGAAAGCAGCACTTCTTGGGAAAGCTTAGCAGAGGCACAGAGAAGAACAGAAGCCCTTCAGGATGCTTCCTTCTGGAATGGGAGAGTGCTACCAACAGCCCCGCCATAGACCAGTGGTTTCAGCAGCAGGGGCAGATGGCACCGGGGTCTCTGGGTGGGGTAGGCGAGGAAGCAGGAGGCAGCTTAGAGAACACTTGTGACTCAAACCCCAGAGAATGTCATTAGACAAGTGGCTACGTCCCGCTTCCTCCCCGAGAGCTCTGCACATACTGTAAACACATGTTAAGTGACTGATGGGAACACATGGTGACAGAGGGTTTTGATCCACCTTTTGTCCCCCGAGTCTCACAAACTTCCTGTGGTACAGACAGGGCAACGATCATCAGCCCATTTTACAGATGGGGCATCTGACCCCTCCCTACAGATAGTGCCCTTGCAGCAAGTGACCAAATTGGGGCCCTTCAAAAGAGGGCTGGGGATGTAGCTCAGTTGTAGAGTGCTTGCCTCATATGCACAAGGCCCTGGGTTCAATCCCCAGCAAAAAAAAAAAAAAAAAAAAAAAAAATTCCAGTAGAATTACAAAGAAGGGTGGGCATGAGCGTGGCTGGTTTCGGCAGCTGACTTTTCCAAAAGTTCTGCAACAGCCAGTTGGTGCTAAATGCCAATTAATTTCCACACAGGCCGAAGGTCAGGGCTGGCTGGAGATGATCAAATTCCCCTTGAGAGGTCATGCACACACAGACACATCCACCACCCCTGTTTTGAAATAATTTGTTTCATAAAATGGTCATTTTTCACAAATAGGGACAATGGGGGATAATTTTTCCAAGTCCCTTTGGAAATGCAAAGTCATTCCCTTGAGACAGATCCTGCATAAAACCAGCCAAGGGCACTTTTGGATCATTTTTCCATAAACTGAGAGTCCGAATCACACCCTGTCCCAGCTGGACCGGATGGATGCCTCCTGGCCCATCTCTCCGTGGTTGGGGGTGCCTGCCAACTGCCCAGAACCTCTAGCCTGCATGGGATCCGGGAATTCCTGGGACTTCCCAGCTCCTCTCCATGTCAGTGAGCTCAGCTGATGGGCCTGGGGGTGCCGAGGATCTGTCAGAGGGGGAAGGGTACACGACGAATGCGTTCTGACCCCGTTCAATGAGCATTTCCTAAAGCCTACCACGTGCCTGTTTCTGGGGGTGACGATGAGGCTAAATAAAGGAAGGTCAATATTTGCAGGACTCGGGGGTTATTGGTTCTGGAACCCTCCCACCATCACCCAGGGTGCCCTAAGAACATAGGTGTCTTAGACAAGTAACACTCAGGTCCCTTCCGCCTCCTGACCTGGATGCCACCACCTTCTCTGCCTCCTTCACCATTTAACAGGGGAGCAGGGGGAAGGCGTGGTGGCTGGCAACAGAGGTCAAGGAGGAAGAAGGGCAGAAGCTGGCACAGCACTCCCCACCTCACTGAGCACTCTGGGGAGTGAACCAGTCCCGTGGCAAGGGCTTCCCCAGCCCAGGCTCAGGCTGTGGGTACCAGCCGGAGCTGCAGCTTAAATATCATCAGATGCCTCCCCAGAAGGGAAACTCCAACCCAGAGGCCGCAGCACCAGCTCYGCCGCTCTGCTTGGAGAGAAGGCTGCTGGGCGAGAGGAGGACCCAGGCCCTGAACCTCCCTTGAGAGGCACTCAGGCCCCAAGGGTCACCCAGGATCTCTCTGGACAGCCCTCCTGTCCCAGAGGATATGGGAAGAGCTTTGCRGTTAGGCGACGAGGCTTAATGACCTCTTGGGGAAGTGGCAGGGATGCCCACTGTCACGGCTGAACTGGAGAGGTCACGGGTCGGCTATCACCCAACCAAGCTGGGTCCTGGAGTCAGACCAGCCAGGGTCCCATCCTGGTCCAGCCACCATCGGTCATGTGTCTGAGCCTCTCTGAGCTTCGCTGTCCTTCTCTGTCAAGTGGGAACAACAGCCACACGTGCCTCTTTGGGTGGAGGGGGRACGTCAAGGTGACAGTGCTTGAGAGGAGCTTGGCACAGCTACCCATGGGGTCCTCAGCACCTTGTGAGGTACCACCATTGTCCTCTCAACCCCAACAATCGGGAGCATGGAATCACTCCTGGTGATCATAATGCCACTAAGTCACCCAAGCCGTGGGCCACATCCCAGGAAGTAAACGGTGTACTCAGCTTCTAATTTTCTGAAATCTCAAAGGACCAGAGGGGTGTGGCCCACTCCTTGCTCCTGGAGTCTGTGAGGTCAGCTGTCACGGAGCCAGCCCCAGTCCAGCCCGGGGCCTTTCCACCTCACCTGGTGCCTCTTGGCTGCCTGGGTGCAGAGGCATCTCCACTCTGGGCCTGGAGGTCAGGGCATTGGCCTCATGTCATACACAGTGGGAGCAGGCGGCTGGCGGCTCAGTCTGGGGATGCCTTTGTATGGGTACCTCGGTGGACTCACCTGGGGCTGAGTCCTGTCTGTGCAAAGATCTCCCTTGGTTTAGCACTATGGGGGACAAACTTCAGGCTATGGTGCCTGCTTCCTCAAGTTCACTGAGAAACCCTTAGACATGTCCCTTTTAAGGACCAGAGYTCTCAGTTCCCTGACATACCCAGTTGACTCTGGTCCCCTCTCAAGGCAACCCCCCTACAGCCCTCCTGAGAGACAGAGCCTGGGGCAAGGCTCCCCGCAAGGCACAGGCTGGGATTCCAGAGATGCTCTCCCTCAGCTCCCCAGCCCCTCTCCATCCTGCCAGTGGTTGGGGTTCCCTGCCCTCCAGCCGAGGGGAGCCCCACAGTCTGCTAGATCCAGCRCTTCAAATTTGGGTGATGAAATTCACACTTTGGTATTCTGACACTGCTGCTATGTGAACAAAGCTCGGGGGCATTATGCCAGGTGAAGAAGGCCGACATGAAAGGCAAAGGATTCCTCTCTAGAGCAGGAGGCTAGAGACCAAGAGCAGCAGAGGCTGGGAGAGGAGGGAGTCAGCATCAGGCTGGGGATGAAGGCGCTGGAGATCACTCAGTGCCTTTGAACCCACGTAAAAATGCTTCCAATGGTAAGTTTTATGCAATGTATATTTTATCACAATAAAAAAGATCTAGAGTTAGCTGGGTGCAGCAGTGCACGCCTGTAATCCCAGAGGCTTGGGAGGCTGAGACAGAAGGATCACGAGTTCAAAACCAGCCTCAGCAGTAGTGAGGCACTAAGCAACTCAATGAGACCCTGTTTCTAAATAAAATACAAAAGAGGGCTGGGGATGGGGATGTGGCTCAGTGGTCAACTGTCCAGCCTCGATTTCAATCTCTGGTACCCCCCCCCCCAAAAAAAAAGATCTGGAGTTAAAAATTAGTTAGCATATTTGAAAAATATTTGAAATAACATACTAAATTTTAAAGTGAATTTTGAAAAAAAATTACATATTTTGGGACAATAACTCAAAAAGAGGAGAGAAGATGGCTTTTTGTCAAAAGGTAACTTGTACAGAACACCTGGGCACCTTCTGGAATCTATGAACCAGGAAATGGCCTGCTGGCTCCCAACTAATCCTGCTGCCACCACACACTGTCACTTCCAGGTCAGTTCCTCCCATCCAGCAGGACGGCTGAACTAGCAAGGTACAGAAGCCAGAATTCAAAAAAACAGATGGAAGAAAACAGACCAAACCAGTTTGGAGATTGAAATGTTAATGTCCCAAAGCCAGCCATCCTAAAGAACTGTTAATGAAGCAAGTGGAGCAGACTGAACAGCAAATTAGTCTGCCCTGGGCCCCTACCTGCCTGGATCACTCCTCCCCACCCCTCCAGCCCACCTCTTTCCCACCTTTGGGCCATCCCACCGAGCATCTCCTGGGCCTAGTCACCAACTAAGAAGGAGAGAGATAAGGGGGAGAGAGCAGGAGGACAAAGGAAGCCTAGGACATATAAAAAGGCAGAACACCCTCACTTCTGGGGATACCAGGACACCAGCCATGGCCCCCTTCTGCCTCCTGGGAGAAGTCTATGTGACCCCTTTTTAAATAAACCTGCTCTATATGCCTGCCTCGGCATGCTCTCTAATGTTCTACTTCAACATGTGGGGAGCAGAACACTGGTCACGGCGCTTCAGTACACCCACCACAGTGGTGAGGTTGCTGACCCCTTAAGCACGCACCTTGTCCAGACTTGAGCTCTGGGAGTTGGGTCTGCATTTTCTCTGCTTCCTGTGTCCACTCAACACCTCTTACAGTGCCAGGCACTTCGCTTATACAGTGTTGGGCAGTTCAACTGGATGCATGATCTGGCGCCTGCCAACTGTCCAGCCTCCACCCCACCTGTCCTTCCCTCCACTCACCCACAATTTATCTCCAAGAAATGCCTTTGCTGACAGCTCTGCTGCTCAGGTGACTCTCTGCCAATGTCCTATGTCCTCTATTGCTATGCTCCTTAGTCAGCCAAGCCCTAGTAGTCATTCATTGACACGCAGTCCAATGTCACTTGTCCAGCTCTCGGGATGGTTCTGACATTTGCTCCAAGGGGAAACCCAGCAGGACTAAAATCATCTTCCGCCCTTCAAGGCTCTGTGGGTCTGGCTAAAGCAGTATTTGTTCCCATTTAACACCAGACAGCTGACCAGAAAGTCACTATGTTCATCCTTGCAGTATTTATGAGACATTCGATAGAGTAGTTTTCAGAGTTCAAGTGAAATATTTCAGATGTTGCAGTCCCCATTAAAGAGCATTTAAGGCATCATTCATCCCAGTCTTAGTGAACATATTAAATATTGTGGACTTGGAGAACAAAGTTAATAAGTCACAGTGCCTGCTGCAACTGTCCAGGGTGAGAGTCACACTTAGGAACAGGTAAAACTATGTGTTTTAAGTAAACAAGTGATAAATCACACCTTTAGGAATAGACACAAGAAAAGTGCGCAAGACCTTTAGTAAAAGGTAAGACCTATTATAAACTATAAATATTAAGATAAATTTAAAAATATAAGTGGAAGCCRGGAGCGGTGGTGCATGCCTGTAATATCAGAGGCTTGGGAGGCTG